AGGAGAACAAAGAGTGATGAGTTGGCATTGCAACAGGGCTTACATCATATCCATAGTATGCTTTGTGGGTCACTTACCTTCTGCAGGGCCCATGTACTTTGCAAACAAAGTCAAGATTTCCCACTGTGAAAAAGCAGCAACGTGTGAGCACCTCGAAAACTTTTCCTCAAAAAGACCCTGCTAAGGACCCCCAACTTCTTACCTCTCCATCGGTCAAGAGGTATCCTATGGAAAGGGAGCATGATGTGGACAACATCAACTTGACAGCTGTTTTGTTGTACAATGCACAGCTGCCAATCAAACCCTCTCGGTATGGCCGGAACCAGCCACGCCAGATGATGATGCCAACATTGACTATCAAAAAGACGATAGCCACAAACAACTCAATCAAACCAATGACATAGAGACTGGGCTTGGCTATGAATGTAGCTGCCAGAATGTCGAGGAACGTAATGACTTCCTGCGAGACTCCAATCAGAGTGCTGTAGGATTCCAAGTCAATGACATCGAGCAAACCATGAACGCTCTCTTCGACACCATCCAACAGCTCCAAAAACAAGTAGACCTGGGTATATCCTTGTCCAATGTCAACCGTGTCCTGGTCAAATCCAAGCCACTCCAGGATGGACGGCATGGACACCCACCAGAGGATCACAAAGGGAATGTAGGAGACCACGTAGAGTATCATGGACAGCTGAACGTAGTGTCCGACCAGTTTCACATTGTTTTTACCCATTGCCTGGCTACACAAGACGGCAATGCTTTCATGGTACCCTCCAAAGAAGCTGGATGAAACATGAATCAACCCTCTCACGGTGACAAAGGCGGAGATCTCGCTGGTACCAAGGACCTTTCCAATCACGGCTGCTGTGATAATATCCAGGATTCCAGTGGAAAGTGACTGTATTGCAAAAGGAATCGCCAGTTTGATGATGCGTTTGCTTTCAAAATCCCACACGGCGAGATCCAAGAGTGAATTCCAGAAGGAAGTATCATCATCGGCCGGGTTGACATCATCCGGTTGATTAGTTTTGAGATGGTCCCGCAGCGGGGGTGGGTATCCTTTCCGTGCTGGACTGGATGTCGTGATGCTGACGGCGTCGCCAAACGATAAGGCATCTTGATCGAGCGACCCCATGACAGAACGCACAGGCGATTGATCTCGGCTCTTTGGCCGTCTGGTGGGAGAATCACTTAATTTCACAATGGCGTTCTCTTCGGCTTTGTTGGTTGCCGCGTCGTCCGTGCCATTGATGACACTATCCGCATAGGCATCATAGCGTTGCATTCTGAGTTCAAACTCTACCCATTCATTTTTCTTCTCCATGATGCGCTTGTTGTGGCGCTTTCGACGGCGTCTTTTGCGTGATCGCTGGCTGTGCAGGGAAACCAGGGAGGAAACACTGGGAGTCACAGAGATTGCCGATCGACCCGATACTACACTCATGGGTGATGGTGGGCCTTCTGTGGCTTCGAAAATTGGATCGACGCTGCCGTCATACTCCGAAGTAGCAATGATTGGCACATTGTTGTTGTTGTTGTTGCTGCTCCTAGTGGACGGTGGTCGTGGTTGAGCCTTCCAGCGCTGTCTCTTTTCTTGATTGATCTGGTTCTTGATTTCCAGGCGAAAACCCAAGGACACGAGAAAGGGCAGGGAGCAATAGATAATGATGCAAAATAAAATGGTGGCAAAGATGAGACTATTACCTGGATCATGGGATTTCTCCACGTAGCCTACAAAGCCATCGTCGGTCTCTGGAAACAGGGGCATGGTTGATTGATAATACAGTACAACACCACCAATATTAGCAACTAACTAATAAGATCATGGGTCAGCAAGACATCATGTGCTTCGATTGTGGCATTGTGAAGCAATGCGATGGTTCACATTCAAAAAATGAATGACGGCCGGATTTGGCGCCAGAAACAGGGATGACAGGCGTGAGCAAATGCAGCTTGGCTGCAAGGACACCGAGGTGGTGGGTTTATCCGCAGGTAATCGGCACCAAACAAGTGGACCCCAACATCGTCGCATGGTTGCCAGGTTGGTTTCTGAAGACATCAAAAGGAGCAAGGAACATTTCGCTTTGGCTGCAATTTGCATTGTTCACACTTCTCTCGGGCCGTTTCTTCCATTCAGGGTCAATTCTTTGCCGTTGGTGACTTGTGACGAAGAAACGAAACGAACTGGCAATATCGAACATGATGTGATCATTCCGTTGCAGGTCCGCAAAGAAAGTTTTCCTTTTCCCGTGTATTGGCTTGATTGAACTCATCTTGAGCAAATAACAGCTTTATTGAGAAGTAGTGGTACAAGAATGGGCAATTGGATCTCTTCGGCCTTGCTAGGTGGTACTTTTTCGGTGGCTGGTGTCCACTTGGGCCTCTGCGATAATCGGAACTTTGTGAGCCGCTCCGTCGACAAGGTGCCACTTCGACTGTACCTGTCCATCTTTGGTATGGGATCCGTTGCCTATATTGTCAATTGCACTACCGTTCGGGTACTCGAGCGTCGTCGTGGTCGGTCGCGATCCATTCTATCTGCCATTTTCGATCGCTACACGTACATGACGTTGTTGGTCAAGCCAGTGCCCTTTGCGTTGGTGTCTTTCAGCCTCGGCTATGCCGCGGCCTGCTACAGTCCCCGATGGGTGCTGGAATCGGTCCTTTCGGCCTTTGCTAGAGATATAGTGGGAAAGAAGAGGAAGTAAACAACGATACTTGAGACTTGCCCTTACCAAGAAGAAAATTTGGTTCGCCGATGTTCCGATTCCCACGCATACAATGTGCAAAAGTACCGGTATCATCTATTACCTTCTCAGCCAAATGAAAGTCAATTCTAACCTGTCGTTGTCTTCCAGATCAGTGTCATCAATCAGATCGTTGAAGAATTGTATCCTTCTGTGAGCACAGAAAGTTAAACTACTATAGTAGAGCTCTGTATTACTAACTTTGACTACATCTATGTACAGTAGAATCAATCTGTTTAGTAGCGAGGGCTGTTGTTGTGTCTACCCAAAACGTAACCAATAGTTACTCCTGCAGCAAGTGCCAGTGATATAATTCCAAAGCTTGCCGTCAAGGAACTGCAGCTTTCATCATCCTCATGATCGCTATCTGTTTTCAATAGCTGAAAGCGTCCTGGACGCGTCCTCTGAAAAGACTCCTGGACAAGTCTTCGATACGGCTCGTAGAACCATGCATAGAATCCCTGTGGTTCCCACCACTCGGCCATGATGGTATCTTCCAGAAAATGAAAAATGTGTGGTACAAAGGGTTCGATGCGAACGTAGTCGTAGGAATGGTATATTGTCTTTTGCGTCCCATTGGCTGTCAACTTCCACACTTCAACTTTTCCCTTGACGACAAAGTCATGCTGTGTGTTTTGATGAATGTCTCCCGATCTCATGACACCTTTTTTGGAAGAGAGCAGGTTGATTCGAAGGCCACCCACTTGCAGATTGTGAATCTCCCCTCGTTCGTCGAGGTAGACGGAAGGCACAGGGATCGGTCGATTGACAGAAGGCGGCGCTGGAGTCACATTGGAGGATTCCAATAGGCTGCGTTTCTCCACTCGGTTGCAATCATCTGCCATGTTGTCTTTGTCGTCGCTCATTTGTTGTGCCTCTTTTTAGTGCAATAGTGAGGGTTGTGGTAGGTGAGGGCGAAGATTAGAATTGAGAGTTGAGAAAGGGAAAAGAAAAGATCAGATCGTTGCGTTCGAATCACGTTTGGAGTCACGCTGCTGACGTGACCGCCAGTCGTCGCAGGACCACAAGTTCTTCGTCGTTGCGTCGTGTCTCCAACGAGGCGCATTCATTACAATTAATTGTTTTCTGTCATTCGCATCGAGTGGCAAAAGAAGACCAAGAAAGAGCTTGTTGTTTGACTGTTTACAGACTTGAAAATGGCGTACTACGGCGGAGGATCTGGAGGCGGAGGCTACGGTGGCGGCGGCGGCGGCGGCAGCAGCGGCGGGTAAGTAGCACAAAGTGAAAAAGGCCGTTGTCTACGTCTTTTCAGTAACCAATACCACGTGTTTTTTGTCTTTGGCCCATTCATTCCATTTCACAGCGGATACAGCGGTGGAGGCAGCTATGGTGGAGGAGGAGGCGGTAATTACGGTGGTGGAGGAGGTGGATACGGCGGTGGAGGAGGAGGATATGGCGGCGGTGGCGGCGGGTAAGTGATATGTTTTTTTTTTGTTCTTTGTCCACGGCTTGTTCCAATGCCCTTTTCTAATCATCACATCACGTCGTCTCTATTCTTACAGAGGATTTGGAGGTGGCGGCGGTGGCTACGGAGGAGGAGGCGGTGGCCAAATGGGACAACTAGGGCAGTCTCTCCATAGCATTGATTTTGCGAAGCAGGAGCTCGTGCCGTTCGAGAAGAATTTCTACCTCGAGCACCCGGACGTGACCAAGAGAAGCGATCAAGAGGCCGAGGCTTGGAGAGCTTCAAAACAAATTGTTGTCCGGGGAGCCGACGTTCCAAAGCCTTGCATGACTTTTGATGAAGCATCCATGCCAGAGTACGTCTTGTCCGAAGTGATCAAATGTGGATTTGAGCGGCCCACTCCCATTCAGAGCCAGGGTTGGCCCATGGCTTTGAAGGGACGAAATATGGTTGGTATTAGTGCCACAGGATCAGGGTATGTGTTTCGATTTAGCTTCCTCTTAGATCTGAGCTCTGCCTGACGTCAAAATCAACTCACTTCTATTTTTGCCCATCAGAAAAACATTGGCATTTCTGCTTCCTGCCATGATCCATATCAATGCCCAGGTAAGTTGTTGAAGACTTTCCGGACGGCTTCCAGCAAGATCTCGTACTCCCTTGTTGTGGAAGAAGTTGGCAAGATGGACTTTTTCTCTCGCGGAGCTGGGGCGTTTTCTACGATTGCCGGTACCACAATCGCTTTCTTTTCCTCTGGTCGTTTATGTATCATCTGCAGGGTGCAGTCCGCCGAGTCTATTTGCGTTCTACTGACAGTATCTACAATTCAACTAAACGCAGTGGAACGGCGCTGAACTCTTGTTACATCTATCTTGCAAAAGCCAATGATGTGACGTTGATGTGATACCTCCCCTACCAGCCGGTCTTCCAAGCCTCAGCACACAGTAGTCGTCGGCACCTTTCAATCAAGAATCCGTTGCTTGCATTGAATGTAAGTCGCGGTTGTTGAGGTGTAGACGCGTGTGCTGGTGTGCGCCTGGGAGACCTTGGGGAGTCGACTGTGCGAATAGATGATGTTGTGGTGGCTGGCTGCGAGCTCCAGTTCTGCTGAGAGGATGTGAATGAACCCCATCAAACCCTACTTCTTCTATCCAGCGACTCCATGTCATGATTCATTTCCATTGGATTGGAATGGAATCTAAACGATTACTGATATTCGTGCTTCTCGTGTCATTGGTCGCTGTTTGTAATAATGACAGCCATACTTGAAACCAGGTGAAGGGCCCATTGTACTTGTTCTGGCTCCGACGCGAGAACTCGCTGTACAGATCAAAGAGGAATGCGACAAGTTCGGAGCTAGCAGCGAAATCAAGAATACTTGCGTTTACGGTGGTGTGCCCAAATCCAGACAGCTTCGAGATTTGCGGTCTGGTGTGGAGATTGTGATTGCCACTCCTGTAAGTGGTCACTTTAGGAGGAATCTAGCTAGTGGGTTCGTTACTTGGGGACTTCTCTGACACGCTTCTCATTTCATGCCGCACTTTTTAGGGTCGTTTGATTGATCATCTTGAACAAGGAAACACAAACCTCAAGCGTGTCACCTATTTGGTCTTGGACGAAGCTGATCGTATGTTGGACATGGGTTTTGAGGTAATACATGGTGCTTGAAACTCGTGAGTCTGTGTTTTGTGGAAGCAGCCAATGACAATGATTTACCTTTTTGCTTCAAATCTGCCTTGGGAACAGCCCCAACTCCGCAAGATTGTATCGCAAATTCGCCCCGACCGACAGGTTTTGATGTGGTCAGCAACGTGGCCAAAAGAAGTGATGATGCTCGCGAATGATTACCTCCAGGACTACTATCAGGTGACCGTTGGATCTTTGGAACTGTCCGGAAACAAGGATGTGACCCAGATTATCGAAGTTTGTTCTGATCAAGACAAGTATCGCAATCTACTTCGGCACCTTCGCGAGAACTGGAGTCCCAAGGATCGTGTGCTTGTTTTCGTGGAGACGAAGAAGGGCTGTGACATGCTTACTCGATCGCTGCGTATGGATGGCTTCCAGGCTCGGGCAATGCACGGCGACAAGAGCCAGGAGGAACGTGATTGGGTCCTACGCGAGTTCAAGGGAATGCAAAGTACCCTTCTTGTTGGTGAGTACAGAAAGAGGTGGTGTCTCGAACCTGAAACCACGGCGACTTACACTTGCTGTTGTTGTCGCCCGTTGTCATTGTAGCAACCGATGTCGCTGCCAGAGGCCTCGATGTCGATGACATCAAAATCGTTGTCAACTTTGGTGAGTTCATTGCTTGTCGTTTCTTAGTTTGAGTTTTCCTTCCCCATCAAGCTAGCGTCATTTCTCACTGTGCTGTCATTGATTGTAGACTTCCCCAATGATATGGAAAACTATGTAAGTGGTCCTCTCATTATCATCACTTGTTTTTGCCACGGTTGTCTGACACATCGTTCTCTTTTTTTGCTCGCATGCAGGTCCACCGCATTGGACGTACCGGTCGAGCTGGAAAGAAGGGTATTGCTGTATCGTTCTTCGTTGCTGAAAAGAATGCCCGTTTGGCTCGTGAGCTGATCGAGATGATGAACCGCACCCAGCAGAACATTCCTCCCGAACTCAGTGCACTGTCGTCATTCTCGGGTGGACGCGGGAAGGGACGAGGAGGAGGACGTGGAAGGGGTGGTGGACGCCGTTTCTAGGTTTTGTTTCCACTTGGCCCATACATCCGGCTAAGACTATGCCATATTCTTCTAGAGCCCACTATGAACGCGAGCTTATCATCATAATACCGCATATAAACTTTTTGAGGTGCCTTCACTTTGATCGACGACTGTCACTGTACCGTAGGACATAAAAGTACTCTACATCTAAAGACTGAACTGAATAGAATGATCAATCATCGAAAGGATTGCAACCAGTGTAAATGTACTTTACCGCAAACAGAGTCAGTCGAGTGAAAGCGTACGGTGATTTGGTGCGCCCATGTGTGCGGGTACGGGTAGAGGAACCAGATTGACTGAGATTTATTTAATTATGAGTTCAATAGTCAATAAAATTTAGTTGGGGACTAGTCGCTAGTCTGCAGGCAACCTGACTGTTCGTTTGCTACTCTCTAGAGAGTATTGGATGATTGAAGAATCAATCATTCTATTTTCGCCCTTGTTGGCTCCGCTTGGCTTTCTTACTTGAAAAGTTGCCACCTTGCATTCTCATAGCTTTCTGCGGCACTGCCATTTGCTTTCCACTTCCAAGCCCTACAATCGCTGCAATCTTTCGTTTTCTGCTCTCCATCTGTATCATCTTTTGTTTGGCGGTCAACTTATTTGTCGAGGCGAGCGCAACAGCAGCTCCAAAGCCCGAGCCTTTCTTCTTATACGCAACCACACCTGCCTTTTGCCTTTCTGCTTGCACTGAAGCTTCTTTGCGCAACTCCAGAATCTTGGCTCCGCCGTGGCTTCCCACTGTGCCTCCGCCTCTTCCCCAATTGGGCGTGGAAGCGCCCTTGTGCAGAATTCTCTCACGACGTGAATTGGCCGGTCGGACTTTGACGATCTGAGGCCGCACGGAATTTTGATTTTTGCGATTTTCTCTCATTTTCTGGCCTAGATTGAGGCGCCGTTGATCGGCTCGTCCTTTCAATGAAGCAAACAGATGTCTCCAAGTTTTGCACTGTTCGGTACACTCCAAGTCTTCGGCATCTTGTTTGAAGAGCTCCATGGCTTTTGCGCTCTCCTTGTTACCTTTACCAGCGTTCATGTCGACACCTCTGCTGGCGGCAAAGTCCATCCACGCCTGGAGGAGATTCTCCAGTGTCCTCAAGACCGACATTTGATTCTTCGGTTTGCCCGTGTCCTTGGATGCGACAAGACTGCTGACCACGGTGCTAGGCATTTTGATTTGATCAAATATGGATGCATCAGCTCTACTAGTCTCCGCTTTGATGAGTTTCTTCAATACTTTTCCGACCCCGCTTTCTTTGAGCAGCGAGACGTTCATGGCCGATTCCTTTAATTTCTGCGTGGCGTCCACAATGGCTTTTGTATCTTCGGGAGTGAGACTCAATGGCTCTTCGTTTCGTTCTGCCACATCCTCCTTCTTTTTCCACTGTACCAGTATATTTGCCTGCTCTGCCAAATGCTGGACGAGCACTGGCCATGGAAACAGCATGGCGCGAGGGCGTGTCAAACCACGTCGCGAAAATTGGTATTCCACGCAGTCTTTCCACACCAATTCATCCGCGATGTCGCTCTCTGCCAAGTGGTCGTTCATTCGTTCCACTTCGCCAATGAACCGTTCCGAGAGAGCGGGTGTTCTTCGGCCGGTTCCATCGAGACCTCCGGTCCCTTTTTGAGGTGCCGTCTTGCCATGCTTGATGCGCAGAATGTCTTCCCAATCATCGGGCGACAGCATGCCGAAAATCTCGGGAGGATATCGTTCTAGATTGGCCACTACTACAGCTTGACAGCGTGCAAACAGCGATGCCTTGTTGCGTGTGTCTGCCTGTACAAAACGCTGCTTCTTCGAGGACACTGCGACCGCATCGTCTGCGGCGGGCTTGAGGTCTTCGGATGACATTTCAATTGCTGTTCCGTCACAGAAAGTGCTGATCAAATTAATGATAAGCAGGCCGTCAAGAGCCGAGAGGATGGAGACTCAGACGTGAGTCCTATCGAATGAAATGAATGGAATGCAGGCTAGCTAGCTAGCAGCAGAACAGATGGGTTGTAGAAGTGCAGTTGGTTGTCGACAGAAGACTTGTTACTGGAAGCAACGATCAGTACATTAGTTTTGTGTTTTCAGGGAACCAGGAACTCAACATTTATTTAAACATGGTCACTGTGGTCTCGCCTGAAGGAATTTGAAGCAAGAATGAAAATCTTCTTTCTCCTATTCGAACCGTCGAATAATCCAATCCCATGTTTCGAATTGAGTGACGAGTCCTCAGTCCTTAAAAGTCCTCTATCCTGGTGCAGTCGCCGACAGCGACCGCTGCATTCCGATCACGATCCAACAAAGCTAACCGTTGGCTTGCAAAGATCCCCGAAGCCAACGCTCTCACTTTCTGCAACTTCCGCTTCATCATCCACACCGTTCTTGCTTTGTGCTTCTCTACTACAGCTAGTTCCGCTTCATCATCCACACCGTTCTTGCTTTGTGCTTGTCTACTACAGCTAGAGCTAGCTATCCAGTGCTAATCGATGCCAATCCCTCCTCCTGCCATTCCTCCTGTAGCCGGTGCGTTGTACGCTGGAGCAGCCCACCTTGCCGCTCATGCCGCTCCTCTGCTACCCGACGTCCTGACCCTGTCGTATGCTTCCATTTCCGTCTGGCTGCTCCGGTTTATCTGGAAAAACAAGGTTCCCGAGTGGGCCAAAGAAGACGTCTCGTTCCGCAACCTGCTGTCTAAAAAGAAAACACCAAATAACGATAATGACAATAATGACAAGGATGAAACCGAATTGTCAGCATCGGAGCGAGACGAGTTGGAAATGGCCAACTTGTCATCCATTCTCGTCAAGCTAAGAGCGTTGGTGCAATCGGTGGAGTTGGACGATGATCATCCCACTCTACTGCAACAACACGCTGCCCTACTCGCATATATCCAGCTGTGTGCCCAAATCAAACGACAGGAAATCGAACAATTCGCTGATAAAGGAGAGGGAGAACACGAAAATAGTGATGAACATGAGGATGATGAACAGGATGAAAAAAAGGTTGAGGAGGCCCCTTCTTCTCCTCGTGAAGAGCAAGAAGAAGAAGAAGAAACCGCAACAAAAAAGTGGAAATCCCGTGATCACCTCTTTGAAATTTCTTCAGGTCTCTCCTCCTCGGATCACACTCTTCCACACGAATACAAGGAATTCTGTGCAAACCCCAAAGCTTCCCCCCTCTGGCCAAAGCTTCAAAAGCAACTCAACTTTGCAACCTGGGCGTACTATGATGACGCTGAAAGCTTGTCCGAACGATTGGCCCATGAAGACTTTTGTCTCTTGCAACATTCCTTGCGGCCGTCACGACCAGGGCATGTTGCGTACTATGTCGCCATGTCTTCCGCTTCCCAGAAGCAACTGGTGGTGGGAATTCGCGGAACATCCTCCTTGGAAGATATTATCACGGATGTCTGTGGACGATCCGTGCCCTTGGACGATCGTCCCTATTACTACGATCATGATAAAGGATCCACCCGCAATCAGGCAAACAACGATCATGACCCGTCACGGATTGAAGTGACTGTGGCTACACCAACCGAAGAAGAACATGAAATCACCACCCACACGCAAGGCGTGGAAATTATTCCAGGGAATCAAGAACAAATTATGGTGGAACGGCATCGAGTACACTCTACCACTTCCGCGACAAACGACGAAAGAACCGACAATTCGTATCAACCGCTTCTATACTGTCATGAAGGAATCATGGTATCTGCCAAACGATTGGTGGACAGCATCCAAGACCAAGTGGAGTACTGGTGTGTCAAACGAAACTATCAGCTTGTGCTTGTTGGTCACAGTTTGGGCGCTGGAGTCGCTTCCTTGACCGGAGTTCTCTTGCGACTTAGAATTCCTGAATTGACTCTTCAGAAAGACGGAGAAACACCCCGCATGCACGTCTTTTGCTTTGCCCCGCCTCCCGTGCTTGATAAGGATGCCTCCTTGGCCTCTACCAGTTACACAACCAGCATCGTAGGCAATGCGGACATGATTCCTCGATGTTCTCTGGTGAACCTGCTCATTCTGTTGGAGATATTGAAGGGTATTTGGAAGGAGCTACAACAGCAAGACTTGGCTCCCACGGGGGCCAAGACAACAGCTGCTTTCTTCAAAAGGCTAGCAAAAGGAACTGAAGGAGTCGAACCGTTAATGTCGGCTTCAGCTGTACGAACGCTCATGTCCGAATCAGCGGATAAGGTCCACAACAAGGGGTCTGATGGAAGCAATGAAGTTGATGATCATTCCGCCAAAGGCCAAGTACCGGTAGGGGAACAGATGCAGGACACAACAACTGAAACCAGAATTCAAAGCGAAGACATTGTCAATCACAACTTGTTCATTCCTGGTGTTGTCTTCCTTGCCTACGAACCATACTCAGTCCTTACTACAAGCGATAACGCACGAGAAACTCTGGCACGAGATAACACGACAACTGAAGCAAACGAAAGTTCTCTCGCAGCACAACCCTGCATGTCTTGGATTTTAACCGATGGACATGCGCCAGCTTTGCAGCACTTGGATGGCTTGGATAGTCGAATGTTTGTGGACCACACAACGACAGCTTACTACTCACTGTTGGATCTGGAATATATCTTCTAGTTTTGATTCTACCGGTATCAGCATTTCCGAAAGAGTGGCAGTCTTCGAAATCGTAGCGCTTCATACCGATAGTGGACAAAAGTAGCAAAAACGCCGGCAATCGACGCGGTCGCAGGCACAGAAGATACGAAAAGACAGCTACAAAGAGAAGGGTATATTTTAAAAGTTTGTATGATTATGAGTTATCTTTTCTGTTCTCTTATCATTGTATCACTATATCATTCTTTATGTCGATGTAAAATGGAAGGCCCTTTCTAATGCCCGAGTGCAAAATTGTTGATTGTTTTCGTGTGTTGGTTGGCGCTTTGCTAAGGGTGCGCTTGGTTGGTTGGAACCAAAAGTGGATCGCTCCAAAACCGTTCGTTTCCAGCCTAGATGGCCTCGAGGATGACCTTGACTCCCTGTGCTTCCAGGTTGGCTTGGATCTTCTTTGCGTCATCCTTGTTGTAAGGAGCCATGCCGTCCAATGGGTAGTCCTTGTTCAAGGCGTCATACTTGTCGCGTCCAAGTTCGTGATAAGGAATCAGCTCGATCTGCGAAAAGACTGGGGAAAGGTCCTTGGCAAAGGCCACCAACTTCTCGAGCTCAGACTCGACGTCGGTGATGTCCTTCAGCAGCACCCAACGAAGAGTCAAGTTGATACTTGGGTACTGGTCCCGAATGTAGCGTGCAAAGTCCTTGGCTTTCTTCATGGTGGTTGCGGGGACGCCAGCAACCGTTCCGGCGACCTCGTTGTCCATTCCCTTGAGGCAGAGCAGCACGTAGTCGGTGTGAGGAAGAACATTGTCCCAAGTCCTCTTGTTTCCGTGGCAGGCCGTATCCAAGCAAGTGGTAAGACCCATGTCGTGGACTCGTTGGAAGACGGCACTCACAAAGTCAGGCTGCACCAAGGCCTCTCCTCCGGACAAAGTAACTCCGCCGTTCTTGGGTGCAAGAAAGCCCTTGTAGTGGTCCAGCATCTCTGCGATCTCCTCGTCCGTCATGGCATATTCAGGATGAAGTTCAGGGTCGGCAAGTTCTTGTGTCTCGGGGTTGCAGCAGAAGACACACTTCTTGGGGCATCCTTGCAAGAAGATGTTTGTCCTGATTCCTGGACCATCCATCGTGGTAAAACTGTCGATGCTGAAGACGGATCCCTTCACTCCCGATGCTGTGGAGACCTTGGCGTTGTTGAACTTGCTGGACATGGCAGACTGAAGATTCTTCTTCTTGTTGATGCTGGCTGCCGATGCAACAGAGGAAGAGTGCATTGTGCGTGCCATAACTTCCTCGCGCTGCTCAGGAGTCAATCTGTTGAAGCGTACGGCATAACCACTAACACGGATGGTCAAGTTGGGGTACTTTTCGGGGTGCTTGTGGGCATCAGCGAGGACACTTCGGTTGAGAACATTGATATTCACATGATGTGCATTCCGGGCAAAGTATCCGTCGAGGAGTGTTACAAGATTTGCCTTGCGATTCTCGGGCGCTCCCAACGCTGTAGGAAGCAAGCAGAAGGTGTTGCTGACTCCATCTTGGCACTTGGCATAAGGAATCTTGGCAACCGAAGACAGAGAAGCCAGAGCACCCATCTTGTCGCGGCCGTGCATTGGGTTGCATCCAGGGGCAAATGGCTCGCCTTGTTCTCGGCCATCAGGTGTTGCACCAGTAGCCTTACCGTACACAACATTGCTCGTAATTGTGAGAATGGACAAGGTAGCCTTGGCGTTTCGGTACAATTCTTGCTTGTCCAACTCCTCGTTGAATCGAGACACCACCTTCACGGCAAGGGAATCTACGCTGTCGTCATCGTTTCCGAAGCATGGGATGTCGGCTGCGGGGTTGGCACGACGGAAGCCAACAGTGAGTCCGTCTTCATTTCGGATGGGGAACACATCATCAAATTTCATAGCCGAAAGGGAATCTGCCACCACAGAGATACCGGCAGCTCCAAATGCCATGAAGCGATTCACGTTGGTGTTGTGCAGGGCCATCTGAATGTTTTCGTAGCATGTGCGATCGTGGCTGTAGTGGATGCAGTTCATTGTATCAGCGTAAAGCCTTGCCATCCATGGCACCGCAACATTAAGATAAATGTTCTCCACAGCTTCAAAGTCAATGGGACGACCTTCGTCGCCGGGTCCAATGCCGGCTTTCTTGCATGCTTCCTCGAGAAGAGGGCAGACCATCTCTCCGTGGATCTCGTCCTTACCTCCGTTCAGGCACATAAGAAGCAGCTTGACCATGTTGGTCCGGGATCCGAAGAACTGCATGTCGGTACCGCATCTCATGGCCGATACACAGCAGGCAATGGCGTAGTCGGAACCAAAGATCTTGCGCATCAAGTCATCGTTTTCATATTGGATGGAGGACGAAGCGATGGACTGCTTGGAACAGAATTGCTTGAAGCTCTCTGGAAGTCCTTGGGCCCAGAGGACGGTGAGGTTTGGTTCTGGGGCAGGTCCAAGATTGGTGAGCGTGTGCAAAAAGCGGAAGGTCGTCTTGGTGACGAGGGGTGTTCCATCCTCGGCACAGCCTCCAAGAGCAAGCGTCATCCAAGTGGGGTCGCCAGAGAAAAGCTCGTTGTAGGCTGGACTTCGGAGATGACGAACTATGCAGCACAGAAGAGAGAAATGCGAGGTTAGCAAAACGGACTCAGGAGTCGGTTCATGCCACAAAAAACATCAGCGCAACACTCACCAAGCCTCATCTTGATGACAAGGTCGTCGATGACTTCTTGCAAGTCTTCTTCGGTGGCCCGTCCTTCCTTCAAATCCTGTTCGGCGAAGATATCCAAGAAGGCATCCCAACGGCCGACTGACATGGCTGCTCCGTCTTGTTCCTTGAGAGCAGCGGTGTGACCCAACCACATTGCTTGAGCAGCTTCCTTGAAGGTAGAAGCTGGTTTTGTCAAGTCCACTCCATAAGTCTTTCCGAGTTTCTCGAGCTCCTTGAAAGCCTTGACTTGTTTGGTGACTTCGCTGCGTAGCTGCATGACATCGGGAGACGATCCTTTCAAAGCGTCGTAGTCAATCTTCTTGCGTCGGATAAGCTCTTCCGTACCAAAGAGAGCAAGCCTTCGGTAATCACCAATGATGCGACCGCGTCCATAGGCATCGGGAAGGCCGGTTAACAAATGGGTGTGGCGTGCCTTGCGCATCTCCTTGGTGTAGAGGGAGAACACCATGTCGTTGTGACTTTGAACGTCCTCGGTGTAAGTCTTGCCCATGCCGGGGTCGGCCTTGTATCCGTAGCTCTCCAAGGCAGCCTTGACGACACGAAAGCCTCCTTTGGGCTTGCAGGATCGCTTGAGAGGGGCATCCGTCTGAAGGCCCTTGACGACATCTTCCTCAGCTGAAAGAACATATCCAGGAGCATGGGAGAGGATCGTAGAGGCGGTAGCAGCGTCGACATCCAGGATACCTTTCTGGCGTTCGAGCTCCATCAACTCCTCGCAGCGGTTCCAGGTCTTCTTGGTGCGTTCCGTTGCACCAACTAAGAAGGACTCGTCTCCAAAGTACGGAGTGACATTGTCGTTGACGTACGACTTGACGTCGCAATCTCCAGGGAGTTTCTCAGGGTCTTTTGGTTTTGGAAGCTCGAAGTCGATATCTTGAACAGGCTTGGCACTGAAGGCGTCAATGCCAAGGCCTCGCACATCGCTTGGGCTCGAAGAGCGAATGGGGGAGGGAACACGGGAGGGAACACGGGAGGATTCGGAGTAGTTGAGAGTAAGAGGCATGATTGGTTTGGTTGTTGGTTTGTTGGTTTGTTGTTGTTTTTGTTTTT